GGATAAGCTGTGTTCTGGTTGTCTCATAAATGACCAAGCCCCGCAAGCTGAATCCGGTTTTTGGCTTCCTTCTCGTGAAGACGTTGAGACTTGTTACAGCTCAACACTGCCCGTGTGTACCGAGAGATGTCTCTGGATAATTAGCCAGCGACTATCACAAGTGGGGCCGTCTGCGAAACCACCTAGCAGCTGGATTTTTGTCTATAATCATTTATAGTATGTATTGCTCGGTGAAGGCATTGTTATTAGCTGCATAGTATTTATACTTGGTTTGGCATTGTAACATACAAACTGCAGTCTATTTGTCGCATTTTCTAACTGAAAAATCCCTTGGTTTACCTTTGAATTATGTCTGGGAAGCTTCGAATTTGAGAGATCATTGTGGAGGATGTGCACTTATAATGTAACTATTTCCTAGCTGACCCCACTACATAAGCATGCAATTCTGCAGCAACTGGCAAAGCGGAATGACTTACAGCAAAACATCGAACATAAACAAGCACGAGGGATGATACGCTGCTGAATATAGCTGAATATTTCATTCATTCAGTTCCCCATATCTTCAACCAATTCCACTTTTCCAATCCAGCTGAACAATATACCTATCCACCATGTCCGATAAGAAAGCAGACCCAACCTCTGAACCTCCCGCTCCCCTCGATCCTCCACCCTCCTACGAAGCAGCTGCCTCGAACCCCACCGCCAGCGGCCCAAGCACCAATCCCATTCCCCTCCCACGACCCCCGCCCCTCTCCCTCCCCGTCCTCACCCAACTCCGCTCAAAACGCGTCATCCTCGCCTCCGCCTCCCCCCGCCGCAAACAAATACTCTCCTACCTCGGCCTGCGCAACCTCGAAATCATCCCCTCCAACACCCCAGAGGACTTCCCCAAATCCCTCTCGCCATTCGAATACGTTCTCCAAACCGCCACCCACAAAGCCATCACGGTATACCGGCAGGAGATCGACAATGCAGAACGTGGCGACCCGGCATTGATTCTCGCCGCGGACACGATCGTGGCGGATATATCGACGGGGGATATTTTTGAGAAACCGCGTTCGGAGGCGCATCATATTAGCATGCTCAAGGCGCTGAGGGATTCTACGGATCATACGGTGTACACCGCGGTTGCGGCAATTGTGCCGTTGGAGAGTGCGCGGGATCCGGGATATGCGCTGGAGACGGTGGTGGAGGAGACGAGTGTTAGGTTCGATCCGGAAATTACGGATGATTTGATTCTGGCGTATGTGAGGACGAGAGAAGGGGCGGATAAGGCTGGTGGTTATGGGATGCAGGGGCTGGGTTCGATTTTGGTTCAGAGGGTCGAAGGGAGCTATGATAATGTGATTGGGTTACCGCTACGAGCTACTTTGAAGCTGATCGAGAAGGCTATGAGTAAGGCGGACGATGAGGATCTGTTGGGGGATGAGTTGTTAGAAGAGGAGGAGTGTTGAATGAATCACCTGTATAGTGATATGTCTTCGTCTTGTTTTGTTTAGGTTTGTTTATCTGCAAATATCCTGTGTTGGCGTTAGGCAGAAGGCAGGGAGGTATATTCATATTTGAACATCAGAGCAACATCGCCAATTGGATTTCGAAGTCAGACTAGCCGATTTCTTGCACGCAAATGGAATGCCCGGAGCGAACGGCAGAAGATATAATATAGACAAGAAAAAATATAGAGAGTTATACGTATACACTCTTCAAATCATGCCTTCCAGATTCGCTTGATGGCTTCGGTTACGCCAACATCATTTGTCTCGAACTCGTACAGACCAACAGCGACGGTCAATGTGGCGAGACGAAGACCCCAGTTGAACAAAGCTCTGGTCTTGGGCACACGACGAGCCGGAAGGTAGTCAATGATTAAGGCTCTACATCAGAAGTCAGACTCCGCGACAGACGAACGACAATATATTGCCAAACCCCAAGGGCAGGGCTGCAAATAAACGTACTGAAACCCGATATGAGAATGAAGGACCAAAGCACCACAAAGAACGGCGTCAGTAACTGGATTGAGAGACCCAGCAGCGAACGGAGCGATGGTCAAGGGAATAAGAGAAGCGGCCACAAGTCTATCAAAATGTTCAGTTAGTCTCAATTCACCACTCGCTATCTCTCGCTTACCGTTCGAAATCCCAATGGTAGCTGCCGTGTGTAGGAGATGTAGGGGGTACAGGTGCGGCATCATTGACTAGGCAATCTATTAGCACATCTACGTTCTCCAACGACAATCGTTTCCCATTCTTCATTCATATTCCAGGATCCTTTGAAAGATCCGGAGCGATTTAAATTCGCGGCAACTCATAAACATACCAGTTCCTTTAACAGTCTCTATAATCAAGGCACATTAGCCGTTAGCCCCAAAGTTGTTAATCACAGGTCCCATCTCATTCCAAAGGAATCGCCATGACAACTGTTATGGCGGCAAAGGAAGTCAGTCACTCACGCGGCTCAGGAGGCAAAATCTCTCTCTTGCTAGTAGCATGGAACTGAACGACTTTCATCGAGCCATTCTTCTTCTGTAATTGCACAGGCTTCACTGTCGTTATGGCAGCAAGCGGTGACTTTGTGGAGTAGGAGGCTGCTCTTCGTGCGGGACTCGAGAAGGCGAAGCAAGTCTGTCTCAACGCAGGGGCTGAAGGGCGAATAACTGAAACCATCTTGCAGGTTCAATGGATACTGGTGAATAATGTCTGCTGAATATGTAGATGTGTTTCTTGAGGCAGCACTCGCTGGCTAGGGATCAACTGTCGAATGGTTCGTTCCCCAATTCCGAACAACCTCCTCGGAACTAACTGGAGGTCGTCAGCGGATTTGGGGAGATCTGATTGGCTAGGAGGGCAATCCCCCAACCGAGAAATCCCGTGATTACCTCGAATCTCAGTCTCTCTCACAAAATCACTTCCACGGCTTGAGAATTGGATATCATCATCGATTCGTTTAGTTTGTTTATATTTTGTACTCTACGGCCTCTGTTTTTATCTTGTTGATTCGGCACTCCGACTTGAATTGGTCTGTTGGGTAACTACATGAATAGTAGTTAATCTGCTACGCTAAAAGAAGGGGAAGCATTTGTCAAGTCCGAATATGTTCCTTCTCTTCAATTTTGAGCATTGTGATACCTAAAGACGCTTCACAAATGCACTATGCCAGGCCTCCCATTTATCAACGCACTCTTCGCGGTGCCGATGCAACTAAAGCATAGTCCATCTCTTTTGCCTGAATCCGCTCCATTCATAACACCAGTCAATTTGGAGCTTTCAATATATAAACCCGTTCACAATTCAGAATTTCAACACAGCTTTGCCAAAATTCTCCCCCTTGAACAAGCCCACTAGTCCTTTCGCAGCATTGTCGATACCAACAGTCTCCGATATCATAGGCTTGAAGGATCCCTCCTTGATCCATTGAGATACACGCTCCCGGTGTTCCTTGGACCACTTGTCTCCCATCCCGGGATCAGATACAATGAAACCACGAATGCTGAGTCTTTTGCTGACAACCATAAGCAAATTCTTAATCGGGTATTGGTCCTCTGGTTTGAGGTTATATTGGGAAATCATTCCGCAAGCGACGATGCGGCCAAAGTCCTTCATAGAGTTAATCGCTGCCTCGAGATGTTCACCTCCCACGTTTTCGTAGTAGATATCGATTCCATCGGGTGCGAGCCGGTTCAGCGCGTCGGCAGGCTTCTCCTTTTTATAATTAAACCCCGCGTCAAAACCCAGGTCTTTTAGAATGTAATTCAACTTGTCGTCAGATCCGACACTCCCAATTACCCTAAGGCCTTCGTGCTTCGCAATCTGGCCAACGACCTGACCCACAGCTCCGGCGGCAGATGAAATGAAAATGGTCTCGTCCTTCTTCGGTTTTCCGAATTCCAACAAGGAGGAATACGCCGTCAGGCCGGGCATGCCTAGAGCACCAAGGAAATAGCGAAGGTCATCCAATCCCAACGGGTTCTCCAAAGGCCAGATGCCTTTAGCGGCATCAGCGGAAAGAGAGATATACTGTTGGATAGGCATGAAGCCTAGCACAATCTCGTCGGGTTTAAACCTATCGGTATTCGACTTCAAAACTTTGAGGATTGAGAGGCTGGGAATTGGCTTTCCCAGCTCGTACGCCGCGCGATAAGACTTAATGTGAGACGGACGCATGGCGCCACGCATGTAGGGATCGAAGCTGGTATAGAGGGATTGAAGTGTCACACCACCATCAGGAGCGGGAGCATCTGCGTCAAACGGTACTTTTTCGATGGTCAAGTGTTCTCCAGGAATAGGAGACTCGGTAGGAATCTTCTGATAGATCAATGCCTTATTTTCCGTAGCCATGATGAATTACTCGTAGTCACAAAGTTCTGTGGGCAATAACTTGAGCAGACAAAGGTAGCTGGACAGGAATGTTCATGACAAGGGTATCAGTACTTGTACCTTCAACGCTGTCCAGGCTCCGTCAATTTATAGATTCAGAATTTGAACCATCTTCAAGGTCCTCGGCTTCTTGCCTAGGGACAAGGACTCTGTAGGATGAGGGGCTCTGACCTAAAGCTTATCAATATGCAGCAATTGATTCAGTAACGTCATCATCAATTCAACAACATGAAAAGCCCGGAAGCAGTCTTTTCCGCGAACAAAAAACACACGACATGGGTTCCTGGAGCGAAACGTGCGACTGTATGCATGACAAGTGTATGTAGTGTCATAACTAACCGATGCGGAGTACCGAGGAGTAGAATGTCAGTTAGTTGGTTCCGCCGACGGATGAATTATGAGCCGTCTCAGCATCGGGCCTTGTTGGCCGCAGAATTGAAAATTCATCCCAAAATGCTTTCCTCCGTATTTGTAGAAATCCTGGCATCATTGATATTTTTGCTGGGTAGCGGAGGCTAAAATGTATATGAAGCTTGTGGTGTGACACGAGTTTTTATTTTTAATCACTGGTCTAACTAACGAATTAACTAATAGAGATGATAAAAACGACAATTTGTCATCAACATATCCTCTATGGTCTAGTGGTCATGATTTCCGCTTGTCAAATTCGACAGAGTTAACAAGCGCGGGAGACCGGGGTTCGATTCCCCGTGGGGGAGCTTAAAATCCTTTTTATTTTTTTTTTTCCTGTTCCCCCTTCCCCATTTAGCTAGTTATCATCCCATCGAGTCACAGATACGGATGAACACGACTGTTGGAGGACCTCCATACCGGAATATCGTAGGCCTGAGAAACCTAAATGGTGTAAAGCAACGGTGGATCAACCGTTGCTCAAGCGTTTCTCAGACCTACGATATTCCGGTATGGGAGCATGTCGCAAGCCTCATTAATATGATTACTTCGCCCTTCAATCCGTTAACTAAAGTAATTCACTAAGATAGGACCGACCCAAGAACTTTCAATAATGCAAAAGCTTGAACCAGACACGCACCTCGAGATCAAGCCAAGCAAGGGATCTCCAGGTAGCTGTACCTGCGCGAACGACCAAAATTTAACCTCATTCCTCGGTAGTTGCCATACCTAATTTACGAATATTTCGTAATCCAACGAAACCGATCATGACAGTAGCCACCATCATCGCAAAGCAAGCCCAAAAGGCAGCTCTATACCCTGCCATTAATGCTTGATGCGACTCGCCAGGATAGCCCGAAGAGTGTTGTACAGCCGATGATACAACAGCAATAGCACATAGACCGACTGAAGTCCCCAGTTGTGCGATCGTGTTGAATACAGCTCCGGCCAAAGCATGTGTCGAAGGGGGAAATATATCGGTGATCAAAAGATGGGCGACAGTGAATACCACTACAGATATATGGATGATTAGCGGGAAATAATTGAAAGAGCTGGTCGGATATTTGCATCGACAAGGGCCTTATTGGCATTGGCGATGCCACCTACCATCGACAGAAACTGGCCCAAGAAGAACTGCCCAGAAAGCACAAGTCCAATAATCCCATGTTGGGTCAATTATAGCCATGAGCAATGGTGAAATAGCAGCAATCGTGGCGGTCAAAACAATGAGATAATTGATTCGGATAGCATGCACAACCAATCCAGTTGTCACGTTTAGTATAATGCCAATAAAGCTATTGGGGAGCAGGCTTGCTGACGTTCTCAAGGGCGACAAATGTTGAATCTTCTGGAAACTAACCAACTGTTAGATGGAGCGCACCCAGAAAAGAACAGAACTTGCAAAACGTACAATAGACTCGAAAAGAGCTCTGAGCCTTGAAGAACAGCCCATGTCAAGAAAACTATCATTGAAATTGCGACAAATGCCGTGTTGTTCCACAATGAATTTGGAATTAGAACCGGTTTTCCACGGCTTTCCTGAAAGTCCATCCAGAATGCAAACACGGGTATGAGGATCGTTGCAATGAGGATTAAGATAACCTGTCGTACGTAGTAAAGGTTCGATATATTCTCGGTGAGGACCCTGCGCAAAAACACATGTTATAAAAAGCCGTAGCCACTTGAGCGGCTGACCAAAACTCACGCGCAAATATAAGATATTATACCCAGGCAAGTGCTCGCAATTAGGGCGCCGATCCAATCAATATCATATAAAATACATCGCCAATGGAAATCGGGTCGCTCATAGTCCGCTGGCAATGTTAAGAGGTTTGATACCGCAAAGGCAAGCCCGATTCCGGCGCAGGCATAAAATCCAAACCGCCAGCCACTGGGAGCGGTCGCAAATATCCCTTCAAGAGCCATTCCAAGGGAGAACCCAAGGGGTTGAGACAACCCCAGACACGCAAACCCAACGTTACGCCTTTTTCCAGGCCGAAACGAGCGAGTGATCACACTGACTCCTGTTGGAAGGCACATGGACACGCTGATCCCTTCAATTAAACGGAACCCTATCAGTGATGGCCCTGTCGTTGCCACGCCTGAACCAAAAGCCGAAATGGCTAGGAGTACGGTGCCAATGATGTTGATGAGGCGGTCACCAACTAAGTCCGCCAGTGCCCCAGCAATAAGTAAACAGCATCCGCTTGCCAACCTGTGTAAGGCATAATTGTTAGGATCAACTCAAGAAAACAATATGAAGGTGAATATGTACGCAGATACGGATGATGGCCTGGAGTATTGCCTCACAGTTAGCGGACTCCCCCCCCCAAAAAAAAAAAAAAAAAAAAAAAAAAAAAAAAAAAAAAAAACATAAACTGGATCATTCAATATATACCATAGCAAAAGATGATCTGGCAACTGCAAATCTGTAGCAATATACGGCAGTCCCACCGCGATTATGCCATGAGACATACTGCTTGAAAATGTGATTCCCGTCAAACTTGCGATGATCAAGGTGGAACGGACTTTAGAAAGAGGAAGGTGCTGAAGACATCTATCTTCGCTGTCTCTCTTGAGGAGAGGCTCCTCCAAACTGTCAGAATAGTCGGAACGGGAACCCGGCCGCGTTTCCACAGTGGTTTCCATCATTGAAAGATGCCTTTTTGGCAACCGTCTGATGAAAAACGAAGTGGACGGGATATAAACAAAACCTGCTTCAAACAGGACAGTGGAATGCTGTCAAAGAAGGGTCTTGTATGCAGCTGGCCGTGAACTTCGATGAGAGACGCGTTACGTATAAAGGCCACGGAAGGCATTGACAAAACAAGTGCCGTGAGCTTGTACTGCGTGCGTCTTCCAAAGCTGGAGCTTATGGGCAGTGTGCTCCGTAGATTCACTTCGAAAACTGGGTTGCATTAAAGTTTTCTGGGCGTATAGCCCTTATCAGATTATGGACGTATGTAACGCATCCAACATCTTGCAATAAGACGCGCTTGCCGCTATGAACAGACTATTGTAAAAGGCGGCCCAGAAAACAATCAAGAGAAATAGGTAAAAGGCTGTAAAGGAAACCAGTTGGCCAGCTGAACACGGTTCACTTCTTATTGGGGAGCTGGGCTTCGTAAATGTACTGTGAGTTTTCTTCGCCATTACTGGCGATCGACTTGTGGAATCGGTGGTTGGCCCGAAGGGGTTAGACAAAATGCCTTGCAACAACGGTGACAGCTTCTGAAGCGAATTGGATTGCTTCATAGATTGTCATTGTGAAAGTTCCATTGCGTTCTGCAGTTCTTCAAATGAATTTAAATTCCGCTCGCTGTACGGAGTATTCAGTGCCATGTCAATATGCGCCTTTGCACCCATGGAGTGAATTGAATCGACAATTTCTCGGACCTGGTGAAAATGTTCCGTACGAATAGCTAATCCGCACGCGTTATGCTGAATGCCAAAGCCAGCCACACTTGCAGATCGGAGTCGATCGCCTCATTTGTTGGCCCGGATTGAAAACTTCGCTAAAATAGTCTCACAGTAAAGGTTTTCATCTTGAACCCTGTACTCGACTATAATAACATTGGTTCCTAGATTTCTCATCATGCGGAGCAAATTCCAAATGCAACAACTGTGCCACTTCTTGTTTGCGAACAGAGTACTTCATGCCAATAGTGCGCGCACGCATACATATAGGTACTCCGTATGTACGGAGTACAAAGACTTCGTACATATGCGGAGTAAAGATTTGAATCTGAACTGTGCACGGATAGATCTTGCTTAGGGTTCTATCGCGCTGCTTAGCGGATAAGTAGATAGAGCACAGCGCGTCCTTTTAGGCAGCGTGATGCTGCCTAAAGATTCCTCGAATGTTCTTCCTCCCAAGTGCTCGTTATGCTGCGAATTTGCATCACCATGCAACAGCGGTCTGAGCTTTAGGCTGAGGGTCAGCCTACAGTGCATGAGCATATCATGCTGAATTGCACCGTGCAAAGAATGCAGTTTTCCAACATGCTGGTAACTTACCGTAGAAAGCAATAAATCCCAAAATGAATGAGGGCACATACGTACTACCGGCCGACGTGAATGTTCCATATGAATTGCATTGATGTCAGGTGCACCTAAATGCAGTGTAGGTACGTAGTTATATCGGGTACCCTCTTTGAAGTGTTTTTGGACTTGTCTTTCATAAGTACCCATGAAGAGCATGGAAATGAAAGCCTTCGATATCGACCTCGTGATATAGACCTGGAAAGACAAAGTGGTTTTGTGATCCGCAGAGCAGCTCAGAGAACATCTCGAGCAGTTAGTATCTACCAACGACTTTGGTAATGTCAATAACCTCGTGGAAAACATTCGCTCAATTCGAGAAGTTGGTGCCTGCGACCCGCGAGGACTGAATGAAATCCCCTCCGTCAAACACTTGGCCAAGTCAGCAAGCAACTAAACTTGTTAGATATTAAATTGATGTTGGGATAGTAAATATGTATGTAAGCAATTGGATAGCTATCCTGCCGAGCAGCAGGGTTGAACATCCATGACTGAGGCAACTCGGATTCTACCGCATTTCACAAACCGCCGTCTATATAAACGAGACGAGTCCAAATTTGCCATGCGGTAGGAGATCTTCTCGGTGCATCGAACTGAGGTAGTGATTGGGACCGAGAGCGTTGGGCTCCTCCGATCACCCTCGCTGGGGACTGATAAGCATTGTCCAACCTGCTATTGACTTGAGTTTTCGGCAGAGTGGTAGAGGCATGGCGATGTCACTAAGATACTGTTTTGTGGTCGTAGGATATAACTATCCCTTAGATGCAATTCCCTTTGGAGTGTCTTTCAGAGACAGTAGTGAGGGTATGATGAGAGGCAGCACAGAAAATTAACCAACCAATAGGATGCGTTCAAAATGTCCTCGCACTTCAGGTCATGTGATTGGCTGGCCACCAACGACAATTTGACTTCCTCGATGGGCTCTTCAACATATCAATCCAGCTTAATTCCAGGCATTCCGCCGTCGGCAACACGTCAATTCCTCTCTTTACTTTCAGATATCCCTCGCTATGGCATCCCGGCGACTAGTCTCTGGTCTCAATAGCGTTCTGCGGAGCCGAGCTGCCCTACAGGCTGTGAGACCAGCCAAACGAGGTTTTGCAACTCCGATTTCCACACCTGCCACGACGCAGTCCACAACCCTTTCCAATGGCTTGACGGTAAGGCATAGAAGCGATTCATACTGCTTTTCTGTTTGCTGACCGTGGCTAGATTGCCACCGATTATTCCCCATGGGCCCAGACTTCAACGGTGGGTGTCTGGATCG